TGCTCACAGCTGTGCTATAAGACTACACTTTAGAGTTCAAGAATAAAAAAACAGCTTTTTCGAACTTCTCATGAAAAGGATCCCATAACTCAGTGATTCATCCGTTCAAATGGGTTCATGTTCGAGGGTTCAACTCAACATGTTGGTATGCAAATGATGAAAAAAGTTTAACTTCTAAAGACTTAGACTACATATTTTCTTCATGAATTGTTTTTTTTTTTCTATTTTAATTTTTGATATTTGAGTTCAAGGTCAGGCATTTTTCATGGAGTTTTAGAAAAATAGAATACAGTGTACACAGCCAAGCATGTCTTCGGTCCTAACCTAATGCGTGGAGATAAGAAAACGGATCAATGAATACTATAAGCACTATCTAGGCATTAATTGAGAATATAAACAGGTGGAAAACATAACAAAGAATATAATTATAATAAAACCAGCTGGATCTGGCCATTTACCGTTTCACCATTTTGTACTTTTTTATCTTTGTGTCTGGCTTTTTGGGAATGAGAAGAATAAGTCTGCTGAGGAATATTTTGTATGAAGCATGTATCAGTTCATACCTGCCTGCAGCGCTGCTCACCTGGCAACTGAACTCTGCTGATTTTCAGCTTGAACCGACCTGAGTGATGACAGGCAGAACCTCAAAGTGCAAATACGTTTTCAATCAGTGAACGCACCATAGTTTAGCACTATCTGGTTGTGCTAACGACAGCCAGCACTCTATAGTGCGGACGTTTTTATTGGAGGAAGGAGACTCTCTGTCAGCAAGGAGTTTATATGTAACAATACACAGAGAGTCGTACAAATCCCCTCCGCACAGACGTATAAGTTCACAGCACCACTACAGAAGGATCTTTGTTCTCGGGGTGAGATACCAACACTGCTGTGAGTTCACACATGTGTGCAAGAACACACACACCAGGTCCAGTGTTTTGGTTTCCTGGCCAGCCCTATTGTGCCATGGCAGTCTGTAATAAATGGACCTCTGTGTATTTGTCCGCAAGCGTGAGTGTGTATGCGTGTGTGTGTGTGTGTGTGTGTGTGTATGGGTGTAACTCATCTGTCAGCCCTGCCGGCCTCTTGTCACTTCCAACGTTTCCTTCTCCCGGCTGACGCTACTCAGCGCAACTGATCACCCACCATCACCTTCACCCCTTCAGGGATCTGTGGCCTCAAAGTTGACACACTCACACATTCCAAGTATTTTATGCACCAACTCAGATCAGGAAGCGTGTGTCTGTGTGATGCATTGTTTTGAATCTATTCTTATATGGTCACGAATAACCCAGCGCTGCAGCTCCAGATGGGGGCCGGACAGGAGGGGAGGAGAGGCTCGATGGGCTCCTCCAAACACCCCCTCTCTGTCCGTGAAGCAACTGACTAGGCTGAAGGGTCCCAGCACCCAGACCCCCTTTCACAGGCCTGAATGGACTTGCCTTATTTATATTCACACTCTGTTACACAGAGGGGACCCCAATCTCACAATGCCACAGTGGCTTTGTCCAGCAACTCTGTATTTATGTGTGTGAGAGAGAGTTTGCGTGTGCGTGCGTGTGTGTGAGTGGAGGGGACTATTTGTGTTGTTTAATCGCAGATCATGCTGTGTGTATTCCTGAAATGTGTGTGTGTGTGTGTGTGTGTGTGTGTGTGTGTGTGTGTGTGTGTGGTTGGTTGTTCTGCTGCATATCTGTGTGTGTTTATGTGTTCTGAGTCTCCCTCTGTGTTCAGTTGTAACCCAGAGCAGTGCTTTCATTTTCCTGTCATAACGCTTATTGATTTCTCTCAGCCTTGCAGCAATACACACACACACACACACACACACACACACACACACACACACACACACACACATACACACTCACGCATACAGTTATCAGATGATCCTTAAAGCCATGCATACATACACACACTCACACCACACACACACAGACTCACGCCTACACAATCATATGCACACTCACATTCACAGTTTGCCTCTGCTACGTAGGGAATGTTGTGTTCTAAAGCATCCCTGTTGGAGTGAGATTAGTTTTCACATATGGTTCCCACCCTGTGAGGATGTGAGTGTGTGTGCGTGCACCCTTGCAGGTGCTCACACACACGATCCTCCTGCCACACACTCTTTCTGACATAAAACAATAAAGATGCCTGATTGCTAAATTAATCTTCCACGTCACCACAGCCTTCCCTGTCGCCACGTTTGCTTTGGAGAAAGTGATCACTCTCGCCTTATTTAGTGTTTTCTCATTTTCCCTCCCCTCTCACTGCTCTTCTTGCACCTATCCCCCCCAACTCCTCCACCTAACCACCTCCAACTCTATTTGTATTGTAATTGCCTTGGTAAACAGCACCACTTTGGCACTGAAGCAGCTCTGATAGCTTGTATTTGGGATGCATTAAGAGTTGTGATGCAGACACTATGTGTGTGTGTGTGTGTGTGTGTGTGTGTGTGTGCGTGTGTGCGTGCGTGTGTGTCTGGCAGAGATCGAGTGGTGTGCCTCACATCCCACTTTTGGCACATTTTTTCAGGGTTGATTCCTCTCTAATCAGATGGAAATTATTTTCACAAATTGCAGGTTTTTACAATCTCAGGTGAACCAATTCTTACATTCATCTGTAAGGGAAAACTTTCAGTTAAGATTTCTTTTCTTGGATATAAAAATAAATGTATATCTGTATTTTATTTGCTTTTACACATACATCATGTGTTACGTCTAACAAATTCACAAGGATTTCATGCGTTCTGACAGAAGACCAGCTATAGAATATGCTGGGAAATTTGAAAGATATCACTATTTAGATTTCCAGAAAACAAGTAAGATAATCAACCAAGTCTGACTTGAGAGTTATTTATAAAGTATCCAGTTAGGTTAAGACCTTAAAGCCCAGTTCTAGTCTTTTTGGTTTTACTGATATTTTAACTGAATACATGAAACAGTGGAATCATGTGGTTTGAAGTTGGTTTTATTCACAGCTTTTCAGACACTTGGACTAAATTTGTGATCATAACGGGTAATGGGTCTCTGGCAAAAGACGGGATGAAAGTAGTTGCTGGACTTCCTGCTGTTTTGCTCAGAAGTTCACAAGAGTTTGTGATGAATGTAAAAGAAGTTTAGTTATTGAGTCAATAAAGTTACGCATCACTTGCTTTTTGCAGTAGAACAGAAACCTGCCAGTGATTTTACCTGTCAGCAACACATTTTAAAATACTGTTTGCAAAAGTCCAAACACGACAAAATGATTCTCAGGTATTTGTGAACCAGTTCTTATCATGAACATGTATTTTGTTCATGATGCATATACACTGACCGGTCACATATTTAGTTGCTTGAATGCAATCCGATCCACAATCTACATGGTGAAGACAAATTTGCTGAAGTTCAAAGTGAGTATAAAAATAAAAATTGCATCCTTAAAAATAAGGATGAAAGGAGATTTAAGTGACTCTGAATGTAAGGTGGTTGAATACTGCTGATCGTCCAGGGTTTCCACAGGTATCATCTCTCTGTAGATGAGCTGGTGTCTAAGAAGCAGTGGTTGGAAAAGAGAACATATCCAGTGGGCAGCTTTTGTGCAGACGGTCATGTCAGAGTTCAGAGGTCCAGTGTAGGTAGCGAGCTTCACACTAACTAATCTCACGACAGCCCCATTCACCCGGTTACACTGACTACTGCGCACACATTCATGCACCAACCTGTGTTTCGCTGTATAAGTGTTTGCCAGTTCAAGCGTCAAGCATGCAGGTGTGAGGCAGTCTCCATCAGCGGAGAGAGAAGGCTTTTATTGTGTAGCAAATTGCTGCAATATTTTTGCATCGGTCTTTAGTAACTTTTAAAGCAGTGCTGCAGAGTTGTTATATGTTGACATGCACAAAAACTTTCAGGAAGGTTCATTTTGTTAGAGACTACAATCTGTTTGCTTCAGGATCAAATGGTGATGCAGATGAAGTGATTTGCTCAGAGCTGTGCATCTTTATATACTACAGAAAGCAAGACAGATATAAAACGGTCATCACTACAAAAAATCATTTCCCAGCCCTGGTTCATTAAACAACATGATGTGTCCAACCATATTCAGCCAAATTACCTCTTTGATATTGCTCTATGTCTGTGGTTTATATTTTTAAAGCAAGGCCCACAGCTGTGGATATACAGCATTATTTACTGCTTGTTGAAATACAGTCTAAATTGTTTTCTTACATATAGTCACTGTAGGATTGCCTGTCATTTTTACTCAGGAGCTGTATTTCCAAGTTCTAAGTAAAAGAACAAATATATACGTATATAAAACAATTTGGACACCCCAAATGTCAGATTTTCTGCTTTAAAAGTTAAAGGTTTCTCACTAACCAATGTGTATAAAGAGCTCTTCTAATGAAGTGTTTATTTGCACTTCAGAAAATGTCTCTCTTCAAAATACATGGGGTGTTGCTCATGTTTCATCTTGCTATCAGACAATTTGCAAATCTCTGGTTTTCTAATTTACAACAGAATAAACACTAAAGTAAGTATGAAGTTATTCCCATAGTTAAATCCAGTCTTTGAAGTAAATATATAAAAATATGAAAGTCTTTGAAGCTTTTGGACTCCCTGAAGTCATATAGGTCACTTTGTGTTCACAGGATCAAAACTGAACAGGCTGAAATGACTCGAGAGTCAGGAGGTTTCTGGATTGTCGGACAAACACTATAGTGCAGCTACAGCAGTCAGCCCATTAAAGGCAGCACTCTGAACATCCCATTTTATTTTATTACAGTGTAATATTTAGAATACAAACAATATCCAAATGACAATGTGGTAGAATTTGTCATTGTAATTTAAATCTAGATTTTTTTTTTTTTTTTTTTTTGGACTTTATTCATTAAAGCTGGAATTTGTTTCCTCCTGAACAGCAGTGAAAACGCAGCTGGACGTAGAATATTAAGAAAAAAACATCTTTTCTTCATCGTCAAAATGTCAACATTTACACTGATACGTGTTTGTCTTTTTCTTTTGCAGTCAGACGATCATCCCATTCGCTGGCCACTGATATGTTTGAGCAGCACCTTGGGGCTCACCTCCTGCAGGTAACAAGCAAAACAAACTCAAATCGTTTTTGTTTCAACTGCAGTTATCAAAATGTCATTGTACATAAAATAAAAAGAAAAACAGAAATCACTTAGTCCATATTTTCAAAATATGTATCTTACAGTCCCTACATTGCACAATTTACGGTACCTAGAGTACAGAATTTGAACCTTCCTAAGTTTTATTTTGGTGCTACATTCACAGATTTATTGAATTTATTGAAATTGTTTGAGATGCACAAACATAAAGCGCCATCACATGTGTTTGTGAAGTGAAGGGATAAATAAATACATATGGTTAAACATAACAATCTGTAAAGATTTTTATGAATTTTTTAGTTAGCCCCCATTACTGTGATGCTGTTATAGACCTTCCAGCGTAATACAGTGCCTGTGACCAAGTTAATAAACAGTAAGGACTTGTGTGATTTAGTGTCAGTATAAACACAAAGCCTCTAAAAGACTGAATGAGTGAAACATGAGAACCATAAAGATCAAGGAAGGTAATAGAGAGTTTTAAAGCAGGGCTGGGTTGTTAAACAATATTTCAACTTTTGAACGTCTCACAGGGAACTGAAAACAGAAAACACGGCACAGAGGCAAACCTACCAATAAATGAACCTAGAAAAAAATGAAAGAGAAAATCTGTCGGTGAAGCAGCCACTCTGTTCATCCAGTCCAACTGAGCTTCAGCTGTTTTGGTAACTCTGGAGGAGTCGTAACGGTCTCCAGCTCAGGTGGCGGCAGCGTCATGCTGTGGGGATGCTTGTTGGGAGCTGGTCAGAGTTGGTGGAAGACACATGGGGCTAAATTCAAGACAATCCCTGAAGGAAACCTGTCAGAGGTCTTCTTGAAAAATGCAAACAAACACATCCACATGCAAAAAACGCACGTTTTAGAACAAAGCAGTTTTGTGCTAGAATGACCCATTCAAAGGTCAGAGTGGAATTCACAGATCATCCGTGTCAAGACTCAAAATGTAATGTTGAATGATGCTCTCCATCCGAAAGGACTGAGCTTAAACCATCTGCAAAGGTGAATAAGCAAAAGTTTCATTCTTCAGATGTGCAAAGCTGGTGGAGACAAACTCCAGAAGAAATGCTGGTGTAACAGCAGAGAACGGCGGTTCTATTGATCTATTTTATAACGCATGCCTCACTTTTCAGATTTTTTTTTTTTTCACCATGAAATATGTCATCCCCTTTACAGTTCTGCACCACGTTTTGTTGGTTTCTCACCTAAAATCCCACTAAAATACATGCAGGTTTGTAGTTGCAACGTGTCAAAATGTGGAAAAATTTCCAAGGCACCGGAGCGGAGTTTATTTAAATGGCAGGTTTCAGTGTGTTCCTCAATTTAATATTTCCAGGCAGACTCCCAAGTGAATTTGTATACACAGACGCAAACATCTGATAAAGCTCAGGCACTCGGACACTGTTGTTGTCTGCCTCTCTATTGGATCGACTGATGAATGGAGCCTGAGGGGCATTTGGGGCAGGAGGGAGTAGCAGGAGTGATGAAATGCAGAATGTACAAAGACTCAGAGGAAGTGCAAAGAAGGTGGTCCTGCAGCTTTTTGCTTTGGACTAGGAGGGGGTTTGGGGGGAAGGAGGGGTAGAGGAATAAGTGGGAACAGATAAAGAACTGAAATTGGGAATTTAGAAGTGAGGAGGCCGTGTTAAAACAAAGAAAGATCGCATGTGTCTCCCCTCCTCTGGCATTTTAAAGAGGCTCGGGGAACGGTGCTGATAGAAATCAAATTAACACTCCAGAAAAACTGTATGATTTTTTTCCCCCCTCTTCTCTTTCCTCCTCCCAGCCGTCCTCCCTCCCGTAATAGCTTGATAATTGCACTTTAGTTCTCCGACATTCAGACGGCTGGTTTCTCCTCGCTGCGACACATGACGCCCCACACCCTGGCCAGTCATTTGCATACTGGATGTGTCAGTTGTGCATAAATTACCGCTGCCACTTTAAGCGCTTGGGCCGCCAAAACAAGCAATCTTTTTTTTTTTTCCTCCAATCTCCAAGTGGCCCAGGTCTGTTGTGTGCGTCTGTGAGGTGCGTCGGCTCATTCCTGGATGCCTGTTATGACGATTAATATTATTCTCTGAAGCAGTAACCTCTAATGGGCTGGCTGTATACCTTTCAGTTCTCATTAGAGTCATGGCAGCCTATAATGACTCTGGTTCTGTCTGTGTCTGCTTTGGGCTTAGGTGTGTGTGTGTGTGTGTGTGTGTGTGTGTGTGTGTGGGGGTGTGTGTGTGTGTGTGTGTGTGTGTGTGTGTGTGTGTGTGGGGGTGTGTGTGGGGTGTGTGTGGGTGTGTGTGTGTGTGTGGCTGGAGATCAAGGATGAAGCTTTGTCTCTGACTTTATTACAGCTGATTGAAACAGCCCTGGACTATAAGCTCAGTTTCTCTGTTCTAAATTTGTTTATGTATATGTGTGTATATGTAGGTGTGTGCGTGTGTCTGTGTGTGTTTGATAATGCAGATCTTGCTCACAGCTGTTGTGTGTAGCTGTGTAAAGGTGTGCGTGTGTATGCAGTTGTAAATTGAGAGAAGAGGCCGAAGGGTGACGTGTTGTTTGTTCTCTAGCTCCTTGCAATTTGTTCGATACATGCTAATTGCTCTAATTTGTCTGTCTTGTTTCTGTTTACCTTTTTATGTGTGTGTGTGTGTGGGTGTGTGTGTGTGTGTGCGCGTGGGCGTGTGGATGCGTGTGTGTTTCTGTGTGCAGTCTCTGGACGGCTTTGTGTTTGTGGTCAGTCAGGAGGGACGCTTCCTCTACATCTCAGAGACAGTTTCCATCTACCTGGGGCTCTCACAGGTAAGGTTACCTCATCCTCCTCTCCCTCTCCCCCCCCCTCCCCCCCCCCCACACACACACACACACCCACATGCACACGCATGCACAAACGCGTGCAAGGTCTTGTACCACAGACGTACATATCAAAATCTCTGGTTTCCAACCTCAAGTTTTTGTCAATCTTCACCTCCCAACGTTATTGCTTACGTTTCTGTAAACATTTTGCTGTTGCTGTTGATGTTTCATTCAGACATGTGCTAAAAGTATGAACTACTCTCTGCTGTGACTGCAGTTCATTTAGCCTAATGTACAAAAACAAACTCGGGGTTTAGCAGATAGCACTGTGGTCCAACCCAAAGATCCCAACTTTAAATGATCATGATTATACATCCTTCCTTTTTTTTATTACAGTTACTTTATCTGTTTTTTTTTCCTCTGTTAAAGTATTTTTCTCAAGCCTCCCTGCAATAAATAATTGTTAATCATTTACATTAGGAGAAGAGGCATTGTGTGTGAGTGTTCATATTTAAAAACAAAAATGATTAGTGCAGTTCATACAGCTATCGTCACTGAAATCTCACTTTGCATGCAAGTGTGCTGCCAAGAGAACGTTGACTGGACCTGGTTCTGTGGGTCACTCCGGTGCCCTTCAGATCAGGTCAGTGTGTTTTCACTGACCTGCATAAAAACTGCGAATCAAACACGCATTATGTGTTAGTTCTGCATGCGAATTCACATTTAATTCAGAAAAACCTGCTTTTATTTTGAAGGTGAGACTGTTTGTCTCCTGGATTCAGCGGCTGCATCACTGCCTTTGTGCCTCACACATTAATGGGATTTATCTAAGAATGTTATCTTGTGATAAAAAAAAAGGAAAAGTGACTCAAAATGTAGAGTTTTTAAATATACACTTACGTATTTATTTACAAAGTAAAAGTGGTGTACTCAAAGGCATTCAAGCTTGTTCTCTGGGATTAGATGTTTGATTTAAATGATCAGAAAAAGCTGTTCAATATCTCTGTTATCAGTATGGTGGGCACTACAACAGTCAGAAGTTCGTTTTTCAAAACATACTTGGAAATATATTGTTCAGTGAGTGGTTTGCCACCTAACTTGTTTATGCAACACCTAACTTACACAAAAAGTATACATTTTTTTTTGCTCCATTATTAATATTGAGATGTCACCGTTAAGAGTGTTGTTTCAGCGTGACCTGTTAGTGTTAGCATGGTGTGCTAACTCATATGAAAAAGATTTTTAGGTTCTGACCGTCTGGTCAGAGGTCAGGGCCGATCAAGCTGTTTACCTTCTCGTTTGTCTGTACGCACCTGTACTGCATATTTTATTTAATTTTCACACTTTATCCCTATATCCTACCTCTTTTGCTTTTATGTTGCGTCCCCAGCAGTGAGTGTGTGTGTGCGTGCGTGTGTGTGTATGTGTGTGTGTGTGCGTGTGCGCGTGTGTGTGCGTGTGCGTGTGTGTGTGTGCGTGTGCTTGCATGTACCTCTGACTCGAGCTCATTCCCGGGGTGGCTCTCCTTCTTTTGCTCCCTCCCAACTGCTCCAGGTGTTCACCTCTGTTGATTGCCTGTGGCCTCTTGTACTGTGAATGTTAAGTCCTGCCATTTTGCCCAGATGCATAAATAATAACAGTAATTACTGGCCCAGCAATCAAAGTGTCGCCCCAGTGCGCTGGGCCTGTCTAGGGGAACAAATCGATAGGCATCTTAAAAGCCACATTGATTGTAGGGAGGGGGGAAAAACACCAAGGGGGATGGGAAGATAGATAGAGACAGCAAGCGAGAGAAAGAGAGGGGTAGGAAAGGAGAGGAGGTGTGATAAGAGGAAGATGAAGAGGGATGGGTACAACACGAGAAAGGAGGGGAAAGAAAAGTACAATTACAAGAGTAATTGAGTGTATTTTTACATGAAAACTTGCAGTGATTTAGTGTTATTGATGGCAATAAAAAGAATAATGTTGGAGTCTAAACCCTAACGCTGTCCTATTCCAGAGTTTAACATTCACATGGCAACTACACAACGAAAAGCAATTGATCAGCGTTAATCATTCTTTTGTCTGGTGTGACTCTACAGTAAAGCCTTTATGACCTACAGGAGATGCAGGCGAAACTCACAACCTGCAGAACAGACTTAAGCCAAGGCAGACAGTTCAAGTGTTTTCCAGGACGGGGCTAACTTTGTATTGCAATAATTTGGTTTTAGAAGACAGGCCTCTATGCACTAATTGGCGTCCTGGTCCAAGGCGGTTCCTGCATGAACACTACCCTCACCACGCCCGAGGTTCACTGTTCAAATATGTGTTCCAGAAAAACTGCAGTATCTTTATATTTAGGTTTTCAAGCCTGCTTTAGATCCTCTTGATGCTAAACAAAGAAAATAAATGCTTCCTGTGTATCACAACTTGATTTAAAATATGTTCATATATCTCAGACTGAATCCATTTTAGGGCTGTTTTAAACATCAACAAAACATTTAATTGTGATACTATTATCACAATAGTGAAAATAGTATCACACACTGAGGTTTTGGATGAATATATAGACTGAAGGTAATTCTTGGACTCTTCACAATTTTCATTTTTTTGAACAAAACCCAAATCGCATTTTTTGAACTTCAGTTTTTCAGCCTCTGAAAACACAAATCAGAGGCTGACGGTCTTTCCGACACACCGAATATGTTACTAGCATCCAGACAGTCCTTTTGTAACTGCAATATGGCACAATATGGATTCAATACATTGTGTAAATCTAATCTAGTTAACTTTTGGCCCATCTGGATATTTATGCTTCATACTAAAAATCATCAAATGTCATCCTTGATATCCTAAAAACAGTGAATTGGTCCTTTAATTTCGCTCAGAATAGAAATCTGGGGTCGTTGCTGAAATCTCGTTTGGCCATATATTCTTGACTGGACAAGTATGTAATACAATTAATCAATAAAATACATAATTTTAAGTTAAACCTAACAGCTTTTATTTTTTTGTTAATGCCTGTTTTTCCGCCAGGCCAAATTGCCAAAATCATAAACGTTTCACACACTGAAATATGGCCATCTTTAAAAAGATCTTTAGTTTTTGATTTGTATTGTTGCTCACATTTTAGTTCTGAAAACTCTTTCATCCCTCTTATACAGAACCTGCCTTTTCCACCAGAACATGGGCAAACATTATCCTGCTGTTTATATTTAGACGTAATGATTTGATGAATGATACGATGAAAGTGAAAGAAAATCGTACTGAAGGATAACCAGACTCCTTTCATCTCCTTTTAAGTGCCTTGAAATAAATCAAATAAATTCAAATATAAAAAACTCAATAAATTAACCTCTTAGAAGCCTACAAAGCCATAATTTCATCATCATCTGAGTTTGTAGGACTACTAAATTTGAGGAAAGGAATATAAAAAATCCTAACAAACATTTCGTCAGATTTAAAGTGTGGCAAAGATGGTTACGCTGTGCTTTCTTTTAAACAATGTCTAGGTCATTTAGACCTGCTGCGGACCCTTTTTAACATTTTCCCTTTTCAAACAGATGTTAAAGCAAACATCTGCGTGCTCACTTGTAAAAAAATGAACAATGTTAGGCCAGAAAGATGACAGGCTAACAGGCGGAGCAGTGACAGGAGGGACGAAAGAAGGAAGGACCAAAAAGAAAGAACCAGACAGACAATTAACAGACAGAGAGAAAATAAAGTGAGGGAATAAGGGAGGAAAAGAGTGAGACAGTGAGTGTGTAAATAGAGCTTAAACGTGCAGTAGGAATGAAATTCGCCCTGGGATTGCCTAGGTAAACAAGGCAGCCGAGGCTTCTGTGGAGACGCTAATAAAACAGAGCTGTTCTTATCAGCTGAGCAGATGGCCTAACCCATCACATCTACTCAAACAGGGCCTAAGCCATCAGCATTCTAATGAAATTATTTATGATCGAAGATTACATTCGAAACCTTGAACACACAACGCCACAACTACCTGCCTGAAAAGACGTGAGCGGGCGGAGATAGCAGGAGGTTTATGATCGGAGAAAGAGGGTGCGAGGGAACGCGCCAGAGGGAGCGTGTCGAGTGTCAACGGGCGCGAACGGCGAAGACGAAAAACCCATATATAGAGGAAAGAAAGGGAGAAAGAATTGAGGGTAGGAGGGAAAGGACAAAACCATTTTGGTATGCTTTGTTGGCAAGTGGAAGTGGTCGCCGGGGAAAGGGGAAGGACAGACAAACAAACGAGGCTCTGAGTGGAAAAGTAGAAGTGGTGGTTTGTTTTAGAGGGCATGCAGCCCCCCGTGGATCGACCCTCCCGCTCTGCGTCTCGCGTCCCCCTTTTCCCTCCCCACCCCTTCCGCCTGACCCCTCTGCCCCGGCTTACACCCCGGGCCGCTCCCCTGACAGTGGGGTTGCTTAGCCGACTTAGCTTAGGTCAGGCACCTTGACCAAGGGCACAGCCCCGTCTCACCACCCACCCCGACCCCCCCACCCCACTCCACCGACGCCTCTACAGGTATTTATTTATTTGTTTTATTCCCCAGCAATCCTCATATAACATCTCACAGTGGGACAAAGAATGGGGATGAAACAGGAGGAGGAGACAGGAGGCAAGAAAAAGGATGGAGAAGTAAGAATACTGTCCAGTGGAAGGGAAAAAAAAAAGGATAAATAGGCTAAAGAGAAAGGAGGAAGAATGGGAGATGGAGGGAGGAGAGAATTGATCTGCGAATGGTTAGTATGCAGCCCCCCCTCCCCCTTGCCCCCTCCCTCCTTCTTCCCTCTCCCATCAGTCAGTGAAGGCTTCTAGTGTGTTGTGGACCACTGCCCGGATGCCTCATACATATTAAAGCCCCCTGCTATTATTTATATCATGTCTCTCCTCCCCCCACCTTGCTCCATGCCCCTCCACACCACCATACATACATGCACGTGGGTCTCAGTCTGCACACACACACACACACACACACACCCACACACACAATGACAGAAAGAAAAATAAAAAAAAAAACAGACAG